AAAAAAAAAAAAAAAAAAAATGAGCCTGTTACGTTCCTCTCCCGGATCAAACTCCAACTTGTTCCTTCATCATAATGCATTGTTACGTTGCTTTTGTAATAAAAACAAGCGCTTTTATTGGAACAGTCTTAACTTATTACAATGGTTTAACAAGTACGATCTACCACCTCAAAAACAAATCAATAACGTACGAACCCCCTACGTTGTCAAAGAAACATGGATTCTTTTACCAATTAAATATAGGGTTTGATGGATCCCTGCCTATTTGCATAAAACAAAAAACGTGTATGCTCTTTGAACTAAGATCGCAATCGAATGAGAGTGATCTTGAGAATTTTGAGTGACCGATCATAGAAATTTCAAGACTTAATTTTTGTAGAAAAGGGTCGTATTGATGATATAACACAAATATTTAACATGATCATATCTGAGGAGAATGCCGAAGACATCAAGTATCTTACATAGAAGTTTTGAATATGGAACATGTTATGATGAATTTGTTTGGGCATTGATGACCTTTTTCACTAGCATCATCACCAAAAGGCAAAACCCAAATGAGAAAGAAAAACATAGAGGATTGATCAACTTGTGCATGCTCATCACTGCTTTGACTGACAACATATATGCCTGCCAGCCAGCCAGCCAGCCAGCCAGCCTGCCTGCTTGCCTGCCTGCCTGCCTGCCTTCCTTTGCTTCTTTTTAACCTCTCCTTCATCTCCACTGCTATACTATTCCTTTCTTCTTCTCATCTTCTCATCTTCTCTGTGGGATCCAATATTCTAACTAACCCATATCATCCATTTTCCACACACACACACCTGTGCAAGAAAACAAACTAAAAAACATGGAGTGGAATAGTGGCAGTCTCATTCCTACCTTTGTTTCTCCACCATCGCCCTACAACTATTACTACAATTACAATTTGGATCAGTTTCCTGGTAAGTTCTAAAGTTGTTCATACATACATTGTATGCCAAATTTAATGTTGACATAATTTTGGTATAATCAGTGTTAGAGACGAAGAAGCAGGCGGTGGAAAGTGTGGTTGGAGGAGTGGATGAGGAGAAGAAGAAGAAGAACAGGTTGAGTGAGGATCAGTTGGAGAGGTTAGAGAGATGCTTTCAAGAGGAAGGGAAGCTTGAGCCTGATACCAAAATGCAGCTATCAAAGGAACTTGGGCTCCAACCAAGGCAAATTGCTGTCTGGTTTCAAAATAGAAGAGCTCGTTGGAGGACTAAGCCCAGCTTGAGTATCTCTATGATACCCTCAAACAAGAATTTGACACCATTTCTAAGGAAAAACACACCCTTCAACAAGAGGTTTCTATCTCTTTCTCATCATCTTTAATGTTCTTCATGCACACATCTCTCTCTTTTCATCTTTAATTTTTGGTTGGACATAGCAATGCGGTACCCTAAACTCTAAACCCTAAACCCTAAACCCTTTCACTTTCAACATTGCTTACAAATTTTAGATATACTTTCATTTTTTTTAGTGTTTTAAGTCGTTCGGAGGAGGAGTGATTACGTTCGACTCCGAAAAAGAGTTAGAAATGACTTAATCACTAAACTATGTCGAGGCTAACATTGTTGAGTTATGGTTGTTGAGAATTGTTGAGAGGAAGTCCCACGTTGGCTAATTAAAGCAATGGTCTCCAAAAGCAAAGCCACGAGAGTTTGTGCTCAAAGTGGACAATATCATACCATTGTGGAGAATCGTGGTTTCTAACATGGTATCAGAGTCATGCCCTTAACTTAGTCATTTCAATAGAATCCTCACATGTCGAACAAAGAAGTTGGAGCCCTCGAAAGTATAGTCAAAAGTGACTCAAGTGTCAGAACAAAGGGTCTACTTTGTTCAAGGGTTCTAGAGAAAGCAATTGAGTCTCAATTAAGGGGAGGTTGTTCGAGGGCTCCATAGGCCTCAAGGAAGGCTCTATGATTATTCGAGGGGAGGTCTGTTGAGCATTATTTAGAGATAAGTCTCACCTCGGCTAATTAAGAGGTTGATTATACGAATGAAACACATAATGTAGTGCAGTCCATCACTTAATTAGATTGGCAAATGATATTATAGAGAAATTTATGAGTTAGTTAGGTTAAGCTTTTAGATTAACTAATGTTGTTGGATGGAAGCAATAGGTGTTGAAGCTAAGAAGCATGCTACGAGAACAAACGATGAGGAATCAAGAGCCGATGGCATACGAGGATGTCTCCGGGGAAGCGACGGTGGAAAGCACGTCGGTGGGTAATTACATGTACAATAATGTGGAAGATTTCAACCAAATTTCAGGCTCGGGTCCTCCATTCTGGTGGGGTGCTGAGGCTGCTCACCGCCCTTCTTATCCTTAAGTAGCTGCTCAAGGGTTTGTTCGTTACTTTGTTAGTGTTGAAGATCAAAGAAATGGTGTTGTCTGTTGAATCTCTGTCAATTTTAGGTCTGTATCTGATCGACTTTCTTTTGAAATTCATGGACTTTACACATTAGAATGGTTTTGAAGTTGGTGAGCTTTGAGGGCAGAAAGGTAATTATAATGCATGGTTACGTTGCTTTCTAATATAAAAGAAGAGCTTTTATTGGCAAAGTCTTTAATTATTACAAAAGTTTATACCGGCTCAAACACAAATTCATGACGTACGAACTACTAACGTTGTAGAAAAAAAAAAAAGGGACTTTTTCTTTGTGTAAAATGGTGAGGCTATTAGTACATGGTTTTAGTTAGATATATTTAGATATCATCTCATATCTTCTCTCCTAACTAAGAGAGACGAATAAAAGTCTAAATGTTCATTTAAAGAATAATTATCATAAAATTCGATCAATCCAATCCAACCAAACCCGTACGGTTTGGGTTAGGTTTGAAGTTATTTATTTGAGTTGGGTTCAAATAAATGAAAACTTGATAGGTGGAAAAGGTTCATGGTACCTCTTAATAACTTATTTAATTTTATAACTAGAGATAATTTTTCAAAATATATTGAGTTGCAAATTTTAATAAAATATTTAAAAATAAGTAAATAAATATTTTAGTAACTAATTTTTTACTTTTATTAAAAACAAAATGTGAGTAAAAGACTCTTACAATTGGATTGGATCTAAAAAATGTCACAACCCAACTCAATCTAACCCACGAGTACTCTGAGTCATATACCTAAAATGAACCTAAAATGAAACTTATGGATGTAATTATTTTTGGGTAAAAAAAAAAAAAAAAAACCACCCACATTTTTTTTAACTAAAAACCCTCCATACAAATAAGGGAGGTTTAAGCAAATAATGGAGGGAGAGAGAGAGGGAGGAGAGGATGGTGCGTTATGATCAATCGCTTTCCGCAGTTTTAGGGTTTCGAGTGGGGAAATATTGACCAACTTACGTAATGTAACACAAAAAGACAACACTATTGGGGTCTACTAATCCGTCTCAGTAACTTGTTGAGTTTGTAATGATTATTGGGTTTGTAATTTTATTGGACCCAAATTCAATTATATAATAGCTCGCATGCTCATTCCTTTAGTTGTTGGGAAGGAATTGTGTTTTAGGCCCAGGATTGAGGATGCCCACAATGCTTCCAAGGTTATGTGGCTAAAGGCCCCCATTATTTTACTGCATTGGTTCAATGTAATACTCGCAGGAAAGAACCCTTGATATGAGCACACTATTTTTCGTAACCAACCCCTAGATAGTGTCTATAAAAAGGCATCTTAATCCGCCATTTTATAGGAAAAATGTGATCAACCAAACCTTAGAGAAGTTGGTAATGTAAAACCCAAATAAACAAATACACCAACTCATATCAAAAACCAATGAGAATTTGAAAGCCCCAACCAAAAGTAATGACCTTGAAGATCCAGAACACGAGGGTAACAGAGGGAAACACTCTACTAACTCCCTAAAGTTCGAAAATACAAAGTTTTAAATGAATCCAAAAGGTAAGAAAATAATAACCCACGTTGAGGAAGATTTTATATATATGAACGCAAAAGGTAAAGCAGCAAATAAAATTTGGAATGAAATTCATAAAAACAAACAACTTCACAAAGACCAAGAGCTTCCAATCCCCTTTTGAGTAATCAAGTTACTCATAATTATGTAAATTAAAGGAAAAAATGAAGAACTCAGATATTTGGAACATAACTGGAAGAAGAAATGTGCCAAAATAATTGATCCATACAAAATTTTGGAAATAATCAAAGAACATAAAAGCTCACAACTACTCTTCCTAGCTTGCAGCATGGAGAGTTCAACGTTTGCCACCGCCACCACCAAGCTTTGGTCCCTTCGGTGCAGCTCCCCTACCAACGTTAGCCTTGTTCTGTGTCTTCTGTGTTTTTGCCGTCACTTCTGCCTTCTTTGCCTTCTTTTCATCCTTAGTTTTCTTAATTCTTTCCTTAATTTCACTACAGCCCAAAGATTAACAAATTCCATACATTAAAATAACTTAGAAAAAATATGTGGCTGATCAATAAATTATTCAGTACTCGTTATAAACTATATAAATGTCTACATTTGACTTGTCTTGAGATTTGATGACATGCAATATTATCAAGAAAATTTGAAAATATAAACTTGAAACAATCACATACCGGAGGGCTGCTTCTCTAGCAGCATCACGAACCTCGGGCTTCTCAGCTCTCTTCTTCTGGATAACCTCCAATGTAGCACCCACTATGGACCTTGAGTAGGGCTTCTTGGTGGTACGTCTCCTCTTCTTCACAGCCTCTTGAGCAATATCCTACGGAATGAAAAGAAAAGAAGGATTCAATAATTCACCAATTATTTAGTAAAAATCTTGGTTAACAGGGCATAATACAGTAGATAATTATGATCTATAAGAACCACAGTCAAAAACAATCTGTTTCAAAATTAACCGTCTAAAATCAAAGCTAACAGACAGAACATGATATGATAGACTATAAATATACCCAACAAGAAAATAAATCCCAGAAATAAATTTGACTCCTTACCTTCTTATGTTGCTTCCTGTACATGGCTGTCCAGGTGAGCTTAGAAGGCTTCAGTTTGTTATGGAAGTACCTCTTACATTTGGAATTTGCAAACAGGAAAACCTGGTGAATCCAGCCAAGTTAGAAATTAAAATCGCAGGTACGCATACATCAAAGTACAAAGTATATATCAGATTATCCAGATACAACTACAACTCAATCAGCGGCCACGCAGGTTTATTACCTGTGAATCAGCACGGATAAATCTGATTCCTCTACCGGGATATATCTTAGCGCCACTGAAACGACAAAGCTCGGTCCTACCAAAACCAGCATTATATTTCAGAATCAATCAATAACGAAATACGCATATCTAGCACCACAAACATTCTCATTGGATGAGCCACTACATCTTCAAACCCAACGATCATAATGAAATATACTGACAAACATTTCAATTCACCAGAAAACCTAGAGATTTCAAGGATATACATCTCCAGGCACTGAAAATTTAATTAAACAGCACACATAGTGACATTGTTCTTGCTCTATTTCACCACAACGACGCAATCATCGATTATCAGAAAATAATAATAATAGCAATAAAAGGATCCGGAAAACAAAATGAAATCAATTCAACAAAAAAAAAAAAAATCAGAAAGAACGTGATAGAGACTGACTTCAACACCATGGCGGCGGCTGCAGTGGCTACTCCTCTGTTTCTTCGTGGTCGCCGAAACCCTAGAAAAGAAAACTGTCGAGGGAAAGGATATGTATAGTTTGAGGTATATCTGATTACCCCTTTAATATCGTTTAACCACAATAATGCCACTGGGCCTAGTACAGTGTGTGGCCCAATTTGTTAGTCCGGTCCTTTTAAAAGCCCAATCTCTTTAAGGCCTGTTTGAATTGTAATTTTTATTTTAGAATATTTAAAAATTAAATGTCTTTTGAGATTACGAAATATTTAAAATATGTAGAATAATTGAAGCTTGAGCGCTAAGGTTTTCATTTTTTTTTTATATGTTTCGTTCCTAGACGATAGCTACCTTGGACTAATTATGTTGTTGATCACCAAAAAACAATATTTTAAGTAATTAATTCAAATAAATTAAATTTTAAGTTTTTAATTAAAAATATAATTTAGTATTAAATGAACAACACTCCGTCTCTACTCATCCTTAAATTTAAATTATCCATCAACCAATCTCAAAAGATCTCGTGATTATATTAAATTGAGAGAATGATGTTTGACTGCTCAACCACCCTAACAGATCCTTAAGCTCAAAGATTTCCACACTTATAAATCTCACAATACAGCATCCTTGTTGGCACATCGCCTCGTGTCCACCCTCTTCGAGACTCAACTTCCTTACTGGCCACCCCCTTCGGGGCTCAACTTCCTTGCTGGCATGCCCGGTGTCTAATTCTAATACCATTTGTAACACCTCACAAATATTATCTTATTTGGGCTTTTTATTTTGGACTTCCCCCAAAGTTTTTAAAATTAGACGGCTAAGGAGAGGTTTCCACAATGTTTTGTTCTCCTCTCGGATGTGGGATCTCATAGTGAATGTGGTGAATTGAATGATGTTTGTTGTAGCGGAAGCCGGAGTATGATCGATTGCACTCACACACTTCACGAACATAAATAAACAAAGAGACACAAAGATCTCCAAGTGGTAGTCAATCATTATAACTTTAAGTGTTTAAAAAGGTATATTTCACACTCTCACACTATAAAATCTCTCTTATAAAGTTTCTCTGAATCTGAATTCACTCTAAGTTCGATAACATATAAGTAAATGAGGAAGGATGATGATGATAGTAAAAAAAAAAAAAAAAAAAACAATATTCGAACACAACATTAACTGATAAAAAGTTCAATTAACAAATGATGCTGTCAGCGAGGTGCTAACAGAACATAACAGCCAACCACAACACTACAATACAATTTTGAGACATTCAAATAACTTTGGAAGGTACGATGATGCTGTCAGCGAGGAGCTAACAGTCATCAATCACCTCATTATTTTTCTTCACAGGCAACATGGGATTGAATAGGTCAACAAGGCGTTGGCCAATTCTATGCTTAAACAAATTCAAACCCTCTTTTCCTCCACCAATCTCCTTTCTATTCTTACACTTTTCTGTTTGTGTGATGAATCTCTCACTGGCTGCTGCAGAAATCCAAGAACCCCATGAACTCATGATTATGTATCATCGTTATACTTTTCGATACTCCTACAATGCCTGCAAAACAAAGCGAACCCACGAGTTAGCTCCTCGAAGTTTAGTCATTGAACATTCAGAAGGTTTCGTTACGCACCCATGGTGATGGCACTGGCAAAGATGACACCAGAGAGGACAAACACAATAAGTGAGGCTCGTCTCAGAATGGCGATCATTTTTCTAACAAAGAACTGCCCCCAGAACCCGGCTAAAACCGACACCGACGTAAGATACAGAGCTGCAAACGAAGTCGGAAAGAAGAGGTTAGGGATGATTTGATGATAGGAGTTGAATAATGAGAGAGTGAAAAAGGGAACCCACCAAATGGAATGGGGAATCTGTGGAGCAAGTAGAATTCAACAACAGACAAGGATGAGGAGAACATCATAACAAAAGTGGCAGTAGCACTAGCAACCTGAGGGACAACGCCAATCTCCAAGAGCAAAGGGCCTAAAACAAAGCCACCACCAGAACCCAAAAGGCCTCCAACAGTGCCTCCTACAATGCCACAAAGTGCACAGAAAGCAAGGTGTGTGCCAGTCCATCCTATTGAAGCCTCACAAATGTGTTCCAAGTTTCCTGCCTCCATCCTCTTCTTATGTTCATTGTATAGCTTTCTTGCTTCATATCCAAACACTGCAAATGCTACAGGAAACTGATACAGCTCCCACAAACAATCCAGTTCAGTTCATAATCATCAAGCTTATGGTAAAATTCATGAACTTTTATTAGTCAGTTCATAATCATGAATTTGAAAATGAAATCCACAAACCTGCAAGGAGAAGAGGATCCAATACCAAGGGCTACAAACTGCTACATCATTCTGCATCATTGTTCAGTCAAGAATATACATCAAAAGATGAACTTTGAGAGAGAGAGATTGAGAACGAAAGAGAAGGAACTAGCCTTCACAACTTGAAGTATGAGGAAAGAAATCCAGACAACCAACAAAATGGAGGTCCTTTTCCACCTAAGATTGAAGCACATTAATTCCTGAAACAGACACAAAATTATGGTAGCTTATTCAAATCTTCAACTTGCAGAAACAATGAATCAAAGAAATTATTGGTGGTGTTTGAGCCCCACCAGTGCTGTCTTCTGCTCTTTGGGTATCAGTGGGTCATACTCTACATCAATCAATACTGCAAACCCACCAAGAACACAAAATATCAACCCTTTATCCTATTTTCAACGTAGTTAATAACAATCCAAACATGTTCTACTTACATTCGCCACGAGAATTCACAAAAGTCTCACTTTGTTTGGCGAATTCTTTCTGGGGAAAGGAAAACCAAATTATGAATCTCTGAACAAAACTAAGAATTTGGTTAAGAGAATGAATTAGAACACGACCTTTAGAATGGTTTCTTCTTTCCACATCTCAATTCCCTTGAAGAAGGACCTGGAGGAAGTCCCTGAATCACAAACCGCCACAAAATAAAATCAGAATTGTGCGTAATTTGGAGAATTGGAAAAGGAACGAAGAGGAGGGGAAAAAGGCAGACCAATAAAGAGGATAATGATGAGAACAGTGATGAGCCAATAGGGGAAAACCACGCTAAGGGAAACACCAACGGTGATTCCAAGCATCAACATGGGCTGAAACAGCAACGCCAAATCATGGTCTATAATCGGCACATCCTTCGTTGGGTGCGCCACTCTTAAATTGTACCAAACCGACGAGGAAGAAGCCCCCATTATCATACCTGCAGCCAAATAAACACACCCCATTTCAAAAAAATTCTTCAATTTAGATATATATGTGTTGGGGGTGGTTTTGGGTTGAATAGAATAATCGCAATACATTTGGAAATGGCAGCAGCAGATTTGGTGTCGAACCCAATAATCAAAGTAAGCATAGGGACAAAAATGCCGCCGCCACCAACTCCTCCGACGGTTCCGCAGGCGGAGCCGAGAAATCCAATCACCGTCGCCACCACAAGCCTCCAACTCAGCTCCAAATCCTTCACCAGAAAAGAAAAATAAAAAACGAGCACATTGACGGAAACGGAAAAGGAAAGAAGGAAGAACGAACCGGCCATATTTTGTCGGTGGAGAGAGAATCGGAGAGGACGAACGAGGAAGAAGGAGAAGAAGAAGGGCTAGAGAGGTACAGAGCAGAGAGAATGGCGATGGAAGAGGCAGAAAGTAGGTAAAGAAGAAACCCAGAAGTAGCCATGGCAGAAAAAGAGAAGTCGGAAGAAAAATATATATATATATATATATATATCCCGCCGATGTTGGTCTCCGGCGGGTGTTGTTTCAGGATTCTGCGGATTGTGGTGGTAGCTGTGGTTCAAATAAATAGAAAAATATTCAAATTCGAAAATGGCAATTAAATTCCATTGCAAATTTAGAAAACACGTGGCGAACACGTATTGGATGTTACCAATCTCCTGCCAGACTTTTACGTTTTATGCCCCCAACGTTTATTAATAATTACCCATTTTTGCCATTTTATTTATCTCTCTCAAATTATTTATAAAAAAAAAAAAAAAAAAACTATTTTTCACTCTTTCCCTCCCCCCTATTATTCCACGAGGCCTATCTTTGGAAAGACCTTCAAATTCACTTTCAAACTACGCTTGATCCATTCATCATTATTAGTTACGCAAATTAATTCATATAGCTTAAACAATCAAATTAATATTTAATTTTTAAGGTATATGTCATGTAAGATCATCAATGCAAAATAAATAAAAATATTAGATTATCCATTTCTTGTAATACAATATGAACACGTAATGAAAATGATAACAAATCATTTATAAATATTAATTCACGTGAAATATGGGTGAATAATTTGAAGTGGTATAAAATAATTATATTGAGCTAGCCATCATCATTGATTCTCTTTAAAAAAAATCATAATTTCGATCCAAAAAAAACTATATAATAAAAAAAAACCAATCATACAGCAACTACAGTAAAATATAATAATAAAAAAAGAAATTCAAATCCATCACGGAAATTTAATAAATGTGGCTGCCTCGAAGATTCCAAGTCCACGTTAATTCGGAGGAAAAAATAATAATAAATCACAAAAATGGAATATTCTCACCTTCATGAAAAATAAATAAATTAATTAATAAATAAATGTGATGTACGGGTGAAGTTCCGGCGGATTTAGATTTACATAAAATCAATGTCAATTCATAAAAACAAATTATATTTTGGTTTTATTTTCAATTTCGAAAATAAACAAATGCAATTAATATGGTCACGATTGGGGGAAACTATTTTTCGTTTCTTTTTAATTATTTTAAATCACATAAATGTTTTTTTTTAATTATCAACAAAAAAAAAATTGATTGACATTAATGAGGAAAGGTACTTATTGTTTTTTTTTTTTTTTTTTAATTATTCATCGATGTTTCTTTTATATAATATTCTGCGCGATAAAAATATATAGTCATAAAATCCTTAATTAATAAGATTATAAATTAGAAATTTAATAGTTTATTAAAGTTTCTTTATGACCTCCATATGTGTATTTATTTAAAAGAAATAAATAAAATCATTTTAACATTTTGAATATT